GCCATGGTCAACTACATGGGAGTCCAGCGACATAGCCATTATGCTAACTGCTGGTTCCCCATATAGTTTTCATTGAGACAGGGAGGGATAAAAATGAATTTGGAACAGAAAGGAATAGAGATTTTTTTTCCCATTATATTCTGCTCAAGATTTTTCCCCCAAATAAGTTGAGAACCATGGTGTAGAGAAAAATAGAGAAAGAGAAAAAAAAAAAAAAAAAGAGAGAAGAAGAAAGACTGCATCTTACTCCTGGGGACTGGAGAAAAAAATTTTAAAAGGAGGATTGGAATCCATCAGTGTTCTTTTTATTTTTTTTTAAAGATTTATTTATTTAAAAAATTTTATTTGTTGTTATTATTATTATTATTTAACTTGGCCAGAGAAAGAAAGGGAAGGTGAAAGCAAGCCTCCAGGTCTGGGATTTGAACCCCGGTGGGCCATGCGGGAGGTCTAGCACCTTAACCATCACTCCACCTACTGGCCCCCATCAGTGTTCTATCAATCGTCTTCTCCTTCATCTTCCTCTCCTTCCTAATTTTCATCTTCACCTTCATCCCTATCCTCCTTTTCATCAATATCTTCCAATCCTTCATCATCATCATCTTCTTCTTCCCCTTCTTCATCATCCATATCGGGAACTGAGTAGTACTGTGATGGATTTGGCCAAATGTCATCTTTGATGACCTCTCTTAACTTTGTCTGCACCTGCATCAGAATGGCCAGTAAATCAAATAAAGAAGTTCTCTGGCTCCTCATGCTGCCTCTTTCTGCAGCATTTTTCTGCATTTGACTTGAATATTTCATCAAATCCTTTCAGATTTCCATCTGATTTCAGTGGACTTTGAAGATGGATCACCACTTTCATTCAGTTGAAACTCTTTGGAGGGAACTTTCTTTTCTTTTGTTTTCATTACATTTTTTCCCACTTTTATGGTAATACTTTATCTGAAGGTACACAAAAAATCAATTGCTTTTACTGTGTGACTATGACATATCAACTC